GGCAAAAAGTTTAACGCTCGGCGAGAGACGGTTGAGGACGACGATTACTTGGGACTGTCAATATTCAGGTTTTACATTCGATGCCCTAGGTGTCTTGCAGAAATAACGTTCAAGGTATGTATTAAATTTGGTTATTATTAATTTAATTTTTACCATCCAAGGTGAAAAGTGGATGTATATTAGTGTCATTGTTTCTTAAACAAATCCCGTTTTAGACTGACCTGAAAAACTGTGACTACGCCGAAGAACATGGTGCTGCCAGGCTTTTTGAAGCAGAGAAATTGCTTATAGAAAAGGAGAAAGTGGAGCAGGCGAAAGAAGATGAAGAAAAGAGCAATCCAATGAAGATGTTGGAGAAGCGAACCAAAATGAGTCGATTCGAAATGGAGGCCTTAGGTATAATCCTTTTCCGCTCTTTATTGTTTGATCAAGTAAACCTGATCTTCTTTAAGAACGCCTGGAAGAACTAAAAGATCTAAATCAGAGGCAGGGCAAGGTGAATTTCGATCGCATCATCAACGAAGTCAGGCGAGACATAATCGAGGATAAAATCAGGCAGGAGCAAGAAGACGAGGAGCTAGTGAGGTAGTCTTTTGTCTCTAGTTTTAGTAGTTCATAGCTTGAAAGTTTGTTCTACGTTCGTTCAATAATATGGCAAATTTCACGACGAATTTCAGCGACATTTGCTTTAAAAATATTATCAACTGCGATGAATTCACTACATAGGGGTTGGTCTTCTTTAGATGCTGCAAAGTGGCATTACAGGAACAGTGAGCGAAATATTGGTTAGCGAATAACTCACCCAAGACGAAATCTTACACCGTATTGCATTGTACCTATTCCCAGTTGCGTGAAGGAAGCAGGCCACGGCTCTATTGTACTTTTTGTACCTGCAGTGCCAGATGCATCCTACATAATTTTGTCTACTTGAGTACTTCACGTTCATCAAGAACGATGTTTAAGGAGCTGGTACTCCTCGTGTGCTAGCTTAGCATCTTAAACTGTTCGTGCAGCCTGAGCAATAGTGCGTGAAATTTCATCCTGGAGGAATCATTTGCTATTTTAGATTCTCAGGCATACGAACCGTTTATGATGTTTATGCGGAGTGAAACTGTAGTTACGGTAGTTATTTTAAGACCGGAAGCAAGCTGTCTAAAAATTTATCATAGATGATTTCTGCATTGCAGCAGAACGGAATAAATGACTTTGTATTCCCTGTATCTTTATCTTTAAGGCTTAAAACTTAATCAGAATAATCATAAATCTGCAAATTGCTGTTGTTTCTTTTGTGTAATTTCATGATAGAATTTTTCACTAGTGCAAAACATGAGTCTTTCCCCTTTGTAGACATTTTGTACTCGATCCTGTTTTAGTACGTTTACATGCCCAAAGACTCTTTTTTCTGAATTTGTTTGTAGAAATGGTTGAGCACTGTGATAAGGGAATATGATATTTTTACTCAGAAAATTGTTAAAATAAATGAGGCATTTATTCTTTTGTAGTTAGCGTTGTCGTAAGATTTCCGACATTTTTATTTATGTATTTAATTGCTTCATAGTGTTATAATCGCAGATAGCTCTTTTCATCATATTCAAAGTTATGTTCGGAAGTATCAGGGAGGGGCAGATGACTTAGAGTGAAGAAACCTATTTGAAACTTGCTCATTGCGATTTGCAGAAAAATCGAAGTTATTCTTTTCTCTGATTAAGATGAAATTATCCAAAAACATTGTCATTTTCACAGATTACTCTGAATGATGAATCAGTGGTAGGGCTATTGTTCTAAAACTTGTATACTGTGAGGACAGTTTTGGCCATAGTTTTTAACAAATCTGTTAGGATACTGATCACTGCATCGGTCAAATTGTGATTTACATCGTTTTTTTTAAAATATATCGGTTGCATCTTTTGTCGATTTTCACGCACCTGTCAGCTGGGGCGGACGAATTGCAGATATGAAGGGGACGCCTCACACAGCATCGTTGGATGTCTCGCGTGCTCTGGCGTGACCATGCCGCAGCATCATACTGTCGCTGTTATTTGATAGTCAGCGTTTCTCACCTGATTACATGGAAGCACTGTGTAGGAGGGGACATTCCTCGCTCCAGGAATTATCATTTAAAATCCTAAAATTTTACGTCCCACATGGAATTCGAAACCGGCTCCTCTAAAATTCAAGGCAACACTGCGTCTCTTCTCCTTCCCTGAAAGTACTTCCATACTTATTTAAAGTAAACTTCGCTGAACATCACGACTGATTTATCCTTTTGTATTTTCATTCGGTGCATGTGCTGTGATATTTAGATCCATATTTCATCCCGGAGAAGATGTAAAGAATGTAAAACGCATTGAAGACGACGACAGTGAAGAAGACGTTTTACCTGATCTGATCAAAACGGTATTGCTAGATTTCACTAGTTTCATTTCAGATTCATTGCTGCGGTATCTTTTTCCTGATCTGATAGTCATACTGAAACACAACATGAACTGCATTTAGTTTATGGCACCCGGAACAGTATATTTGACCTTGATGTTCTAGAGTAGTTTCCATGAGTGAGCGCTTTCAATGGTTCTGTCCATCGCAAATGAATACCTA